TATCTCCGTTTCGAACCGTGTTGAAACCTACCCGGATCCAACCCGGTTCAGCCCGAGTATTTTTCGACACGGATCGGAGAGACGCGACGTTCACACTGTCCTTTACGGGAACGGCCGCTACGTGAACCGTGTAACGTTCAATCCGGCTACGGCCCCTGTGAATTCACACTACAAATTCTCGACACGGATCGCATTCGGCACAGGGCGCTGCGATGATTTTCTCAATCCCATAATGCATTGCGACGCACGAGGCTTACGGACAGGCCGGTGTGCAGCGTGAATTTACTACTCTGTGAAATACGGACTCATTGGTAGTATTGCGCATGCCTTTTGGGAGAAGGACCTGTCACGTGAAAGGGTTTGACCAATAATAAGAGAGTAAACGAATCTGATTTGGGAGTCCGATTTTTGTACGACACCAGCGCAGCTGTGTGCAATATTTCCAAAATGGCTCCGGTCATTTCGTTAGACGATTCGTTCTATTTAACATTAGAAATGTACATTTTTGGGGTACATTTTGCGGACCTAATACAAGCCCAGACTCGGTAAAGGATGCTCCATACACCGATACATTAATGGATGATAATTAGGGAGCGATTGTTTCGGGATCGGTGTTTGTGACGGCGATAGTGGTGGAGGGAAATATTATGCTCGGGGTGTCAGATTTTCGGTAAAATGTTGGCCTCAACTCAACACGGATCAGCCGTGAGTGACTCAACCCGGGGCGGTTCACACTATCATTTTCGACACGGTTCACGCCGAAAAATGCAATTTCGATCCGGGTTGAGATTTTCAACCCTGGTCCCTCCCAGGGTTGATTTCGATCCGGCTAGAGCACTCTACCCGGGTCGGAACCGGGTTGAAACTGTAGAAGTGGGAAAAGGGTTGAAAAAAATCTCGGGGTTGGAACCGGTTCCAACCCGGAGATTTTGGACAGTGTGAAAAGGCCTTAAGTGTGAACGGTTCTGATCAAGGTGGTCCCATGTTGAAATGTGTAAGTGAGTTGATAGTGCGAGGGGGGAAATCTCAACGGACTGTTTGGGGGCAGCACTGGGAAGCCGTGTGTTTGATTATAGGGGCTTTATAAGAGGATGCCCTTGGACTTCACAGAGGCGATGGAGGCGTTGACCCATTAAATAGCCCTTGATCTCCGCCTTAATGACCAATTTCCATGGACAATCAATCTTCTAAAACAGAAGTACCCTTATCAAGGGGACAACTGGCACGCCTATCGAAGAGGAAAAAATCAGGACTAATACTTCACAGGAAGTGCAAAGGGCTGGAAACTAATTAATGTGTCCAGCAAGGTAATTGGGGCAGGGTCGGTTTTTTCAACTGAAGAAGCTCAGTTGAAAACTTTATTTTAGTATTGAAATATAAGGCGAAGTAAAAAAAACAACATGTTTCTCGTCTCCACCCGCTTCCTTTTTGGAGGCCGCCTGAATTTTTTTATTATTCTTTTATTTTTGAAAAATGCAGTAAATACACCAAAAAAGTCCACAAATTCATCGGAAAATACAAAACTGTTCATTGTAGCCCAAAACATCTCTAATTGGCACTGTATGTTCAGTTCTCTTGTCCAACTTGCCTTTCATTTTAAAAGTATCTTTAAACAGTGGCAACACCAACGGTTGCACGAAATTTTAAAATGGCGTCCATCTTGAAAAAAATAAAAAGCCCCTCTTCTTCCTGTTTTTCAAAAACCCAGACGAGAAACATGTTTTTGTTTTTTTCATTCGGCCTAAAGGTTAAATTTTGTTCACGCCTTCTGACCCTTCAAGAAATGGTGGAGCCCATACAACCAACCACCATTTCCACCTGTGTTAACCCATACCCATGGCTGGTATAGGTGTAGGCCTCTGGTATTGCTGCTTTTTTTTTTAGAACCCCTCAATCCAAACAACTTCAAACTTGAAACTGCACATTCTGGGGTCCTGAGCAATACACCTGCCGATTTTCAACTTCATACAGTGTCCGGTTTTGGAGATAATCGAAATATAGACAGACACACAGAGATTCCTGGAATTATAGTAAGATGTACATGTACTGTCCTGAATCCTCAAATTTCAATGTGATTTTTCACCCACCCTAGACAGTTAGGGTACTTGGAAGTGAGAAATTGGATACTTGTGTATATAAGGGTGAAGTGTAATAGGGTGAGGGTTACTTAGGCCAATTTTTTTTCTTGGAAGCAAAGTAAGGAGTTACTTGAAGTCATGGTAAACATGATAATGCACACTTTTGTAATGATCAAACTTGCTCTGTGTGCATGCACTGTGGGTACAGGGAGAACTGGATGTTGTATAAAACATGACATGTTTGCTTCCCTCTTTTATTACTTGTTTATGTTCACTCAATGTTTCTGTCTCTCATTATATAGTTTTTCCTGGTAATTTTTTTTGCCTTTTTTGGCCTGTTGTTGATTTTGTTACCGCGTTTTTGCCTTTTTCGTGTTTCTAATGGCTTGTTGTTACATTATACATTGTTTTTTTAATACATTTTGTGCTTAGTTTTTATGCATTTTACATGTACTTGTTTGGTTTGGTGTTACGTGTTGCATTATACCTTTTGCTATTGTAGCCATTTTCTTCTTGTAGCACTCTTAAGGTGCATGTGGTAGTTATAAATAATTGATCTTTTGATTGCTTAAATTTCCTGTTGGCTTTTTAGAGTTTTTAGGTTTGAATTGTTTTCTTTTGGCATAGTAACTTGCATTCTAATTTCGTTTGCCTCCGTGTTTTAGTACTTGTCACTGTATAGCACTTTAAGTAACTTTCATATTTTTAGTATTTTCATCGCCTGTAGGTTTTATAGTTTTTTTATTGTGAGGCGCTTTGAGGTATTTTTACATAAAGCGCCATAGAAATGCCTTTATTGTTATTATTATTATTATTTCATGAGACACTAGTGCTTTTGTCATCCTCATCATAAACTATGTTTGCATTTGACATTTGAGTACAAGGAGAACTCTTTGATCACATTGTCAGTGCGGCACAATCAATCACACTATAGTCGTACCCGGTTTAAATTAACCTGCAATCTGACATTTTAATTTCCTTTTTATTACGCAAAAAAAGGGGGAAAAATTAGACAAGCCCACGGAAGCAGATATTGAACAGGCGCTCTCCTGTTTGAAGTGTTCCATTATTGGAATCCTCCCAAATCATCTATCATCCCTCTCCAAATACGAGGCAATAATTGGCTTCTGGCTGTACTTTCATGAGAGCTCTCATCAATTTGGGATGTTCTTGATGAACTCAAACCTGCCTGTGTTAATAGTACAGGGTGGGTAAAAAAAAAGCGAAACCTAAATGTCGGGACCATTGTTTTAGTGAAGTTCTGCATGTAGCATTTTCAAAATCTAGGATATGAAAGCCCAATTCATAAGCTTTCTTTTAGCACAAGAATCATTCAAATCACTTATGTACTTTTCAAGTAACGGAATTTTAAACACAACCACCATTTTAAAGTTCTGTCCACGGACCACAAGAAGGTAAGTGTTCTTCAGCAAAACGAAAAAAAATCACATACATGTAGGGATGTGTGTGAATTGTTTCCGATTTGCTTAGAGAACGCACACCTTTTCTGTGATCCGTGGACAGAACTTTAAAACGGTGGTTGAGTTTAAAATTCTGTAGTTTGAGAAGTACATAAGTGATTTGAATGATTCTTGTACTAAAAGAAAGCTTATGAATTGGGCTTTTATATCCTAGATTTTGAAAGTGCTACATGCAGAACTTCACTTAAACAATGGTTCCGACATTTGGGTTTCGTTTTTTTTACTCACCCTGTATACACCGATGCGTCTACAGAGGATGTGGCAAGGGTGGGTCAATATATCAAAACATAGAGAAAGATTATGATCAATCTGGCAGAATATCGCGCTTGCATGCCCAGCTAATTAGGCAAAATATTAACAGGAATAATCAGGCCAAGTATGCATTTTCCCTATGAAAAAAAGTTTACATCAAAGCAACAATCAGGGCAAAACTGAATAAAGCTGAAAGCTGAAAATACAGGTATTGCTCACAGTATTAAGAAATAAACCAGCTGATTTAACCAGTGAACAGCAATAAACCTGTACCGGGCATGTACACCTTAGCCGGTAAAATATTGCTACGCATAATTAGTTGCTTACCTAAAATCAACTAAAAACTAGATATGTCTATTCCATGGACAGAACACAGGGCTTTTCCGCACTGTTGTTTTTTTATGAAGTTATGTTTTTATGAGTTTATGCATTTGGGGAGAACAAAAAGACAAAATGAAAACAAATCTGAAAGAATACAAAAGGCTTTTTATCTGCCTTTAGCAAATTTCTGTGGACATGAGCGCCATGGAATTGGCCCCTGCACTTGTAAAGCAAATTATTTCTCAGTTTATCACAATTTTGCAATAAGAAGCTCTATGAGATTGGCCCTGGTTGATGTTAACTTACTATTGGAAAAGCACTCAAACACATGGTATGGAGCAAAACAATCCACAACTTGATTGATATGAATACACATCACAGCAATAAGCAATGTGGGCTTAAGACATGTCCACACCTCCTGGGGAACTGTGAGCGACGAAGAAGGCCTGTTTTCCTGATGGAAGTAGGGCACTCGTTTGGTCATCACGAGTGCTCAAATGACAGCACTGAGCGATTGTGTCTTAGTAAATACATTTGGGCACACGCTAGAAGCTCTATTTCCCATGTTTGCTGCACCCAAACATGTAACAAATTCCTGATTTCTAAAAGACTCATGCTCAGGCACAGAAATGTATAGTACATGTACATGTAGTAACCTTCTAGTGCCACTCGCTTCCAGAAAACTTAGGAATAACCCCTTCCTGTTGGTTTCTATAATGGAGTGCATCACGATTTGCATTGATAATACACTAATAGGCCTGAAACACCTGTGACTTTTAAATTAGACTCTTAGTTGATATTCCCAGGATGAACCCTTCCGGCTCTTCGAAAGGAGATACACGAGACCCGCCTCATTAAACTCACTAACCTGGGGAGCAATCCTTCATCTCTAAGGTATCTACGGCCACGTCTCCCTCATCCCCACCTCCGCTATGCTCCGCCTCCAAAATGACACGGAAGGGCTCTTTCAGTCTCCCGAGGGACAACACATCACCCAGCCACCTGCCCGGAAGGGAAGAGAGAAAAAAGGAAGACGAAAGTGACTACGAGCGATTTGATCGTAGCAGCGGGAGCAAAAATACAGAAGCCGGAAGCGGTCAGAGATTTCAGCACTACAGTTTTCAGGCCTGGGGGCTTTGTTGACGGAAGTCGGCAAAGAAGTCGGTCAGAAACGCAAATCCATTAAGTCATCAGAGCGTGATACGGGCTTGAGGCAATGAAGTGTCGTTTTCTTTGAAGAGTTTGTTTGTGAAATGTTAGAGGGTTTTCTGGCTTTAAGGATTACAGAAAAAGCCACTTATTTTGGTAATAGCTAGTCAGAACTCAACAAATGCACAATTTGCATGATTTATCGGTTGAATAGGACTAGATAGCCACTTAGGACGGTCATCATGGGCCGTTGTGTACGCAGTTTGGTCACGAATATCACATTAGCGATGCGATTATAGTGTGATCAGCATAATTTGGCACTCAGCGGCCTATCAGATACATGTAGCTCTTGCCCATAATGACAATAAGGATTACACACGCAAGTCATACCTGTAATGTTGATGGTTTGTAGAAAACCATCAACAGCTGGTCTTCCATTACGGTGGATGACGTGGATTTTAGGTAGTCACGTGCTCATCAACAGTGTTTCCCCAATTCACAGTGCATGCTACAATACAGAGGTTTCGCATCTGAACGCGTACATTGTACGTTTAGCTATCCGTTAACTGGTATCGACCATTCTGTTGTTTCGCATCGTGTTCGTGTACACATATGCGCTTAGTTAAAGGGAATGTACAACATTTGCTTTTGCCGCAATTTTCAGAAATAAATGGATTTGGAGGATTAGTATATTATAGCAAATATTGTTAAACTGACTTGTTTCACATTTTGGGCTTGTAGATGCTGGAAACAACAAGAAAACCAATCATGTTCTTGTAGTCTGGTTCCCTGACCCCACTTAAGATGAAACAGAGAAATGTATAGACTTTGGGGAATTTTAGGCCTAAAGGCCAGAGAATCAGTCTAGCAGGCTTGTACCCCTTCACAGGTGTTTAATAAATTTCAAAGAAAATGCGGAACAACTGTTATGAAAAATTCGGAGCGGTTTTTGAAAAAAGCCAGTTTTTCTCCAACGCTGGTCGGCCGACGATTTTACAGGATGCTTTAGACTGTCATTCCCTTACAATCTATTTGTAAGGTATTTCGTGATAATTTGATCATTTCGTTTTTTGATGTTTGCAAATGTTGTATCTTCCCTTTAAAGGAACCAAAGCAGTAATCCCAAAATGACAGCCTCTGATGGAAGCCTCGTTTCTGCGGCTAATCCTGCTTTGAAACACAGACAAATGGTACCGGTAGAAATATGTTCACCAATTCATCCCCTTTCAATCAAATCATACACGATTAAATAAGTTATCAGAAAATAGGATGAAAATCCAGAATTTACTATGCGTTTCACACTGACGCGTAGCGCGCGATATATCCGTGCCGTGTACACGCGTAGTGGATAGTGAGTTGCGTATGATGACACAAGACCACACAAACTGATGACCTATCCGACGCGATAACCGTTTCCATTTGCTTGCGAAATCTCGCTAAAAGTTGACCCAAAATGGTTGACATGCATGTATGACTCACCTTTGAAGCTTAAACCCTTGTTCGGGATTTCATTGCTAAACACAACCCGCATTGTTTGATACTGCCTTTACTTTGTGATATTCACAAGTTAAAAGCAAAAAAATTAACACACCAAAATAATCCTGTCAACAACCAAAAACATGATAGGAAAACAACAGAGCAACAACAAAGACAAAAACTACATTAGATACAATGTACTGGTAGGTCATATTAACTTTAGCTCTTCACATGACAAACATGTACCGGTACATGTATGCAAGATCATATTGCAGGCTTTGCTCGTTATGAAAAGTACCCACTCGCAAAAAAAAGACCCCCTCCAAAAAAAAACACAAACTAAATTATTAAAATTAAGGCTCTGCTGTGATCATTGTGGTTCAAACACAATGCAGTTTTATTCAAGTCTGCCAAGCTTGTTTACCTGCATGTATGTCAGCATGATCATGGCCTCAGCCTACCCACAAAAGAAATACAATTTTAATAGTTCTTGGCACACATCCAAGTGATACCCTTGAGGTTGTTACCGAAGCATTATTGAGAGTCGATTGGGAGGCGTTAGTTGCAGGTCAATTTTGTTAATTCATGGCCACTTTTGATGAGCTGTTCTGCGCTCCATTATTACGCTATTAATCACTGGAATAAATTACTGTACATTGATCTTGGGATGGTCAAGGATTGTGTTCACAGTATATCTAACCTATATATTCATTAATATCCTATTCAAAACGACACAAGACAAACATCCGAGATGTAACCGTGTGGTCAAAGTATTTCAATCTGTAGCTCCTATTCCTCCTAAAAAAATTAATTAATTCTTCAAGTAAAACACAAACAGTCTCTGATAATTACTTAATCTGTCTCAACAACACTTGAAAAATTGCTCTAAAATTTCTTTCTTGTAACCTGAAAAATACTTTACCATCAAGCCCCAAATTCCAACCCAGCCCCCCCCCCCTTGGGCTAATAAAAGGTAAAACAAATTTTTAATATATATATATATATATAACAAATATTGATCTAAAGCATGAATGCAAAAAAACATGTACGAGTTCACAAGTAAACAATTCTTCAAACGCATTGTTCCATAATTTATTTTACACATTTTCTCTCAGGCACTCTTGAGGAACCCAGTTGATGAACTAACAGCTGAAGATGATGGTCTTCCGCTTGCCGTGGGATTGTTGAATTAAGCAGTATTAGGGTCTACCTTAGCACAACTGTAGGCAGAATAGAAGTATGCTTAGAATGGCTCAAGACTTCTTTCCCTGATTCTTAACTCGTATGTACATTGCTACTGTATTTACCCTTACTTGCCCTGTGCTACACGTATCAAAACAACTACAATTTTACAGCATTTACTCAAACGAACAGTCTAAATAGGTCCTCTGTTAACTAACTGCATTTCAGTACTTCATACCCAGTAACCAGGGGAAAGGGCTTACATGTTTGGTGCCGGTACATTCATTTCGAATCCTCTATAAATTGTTATCAATTTTATCTTAAATGAGAACATATGTATTAGGTTCTAACCATGGTAAATCAAATCTGAAATCAGAGGTTTGTAGTTCATCTTTAGGAAAACTTGTGCATACAGCATATGATGGATTTCATGTGATGAGTTACGTTTCGAGATCAATGTGGGATCAATGGGGAGCCTGCCGAATCAATGATGAATGAACCGACATGTGTATATTTTGTCTGTAAATTTGAAAAGGAGCAGGCAACTATCAGATGCAGATTGTCGACTGCTGAAACAATGCACAACAGTTCACAAATATATGTCAGCAGTGAATGCATATCATTATCAAATGGGGCAGTATCAAAAGTCCGAAGCCTCATACCCTAGGTTCGACGCCTCATAGTCCGAAATTTCGGACTTATGAGGCATCGGACTTATGAGGCATAACATTTATTCCGCCTCATAGGTCCGACGCCTCATAAGTCTGATGCCTCTTAAGTCAGACGTCGGAAAAACGAGGCGTTTAATTTGTCGGAGCTACGAGGCGTCGGAGCTACGAGGCGTCGGAGCTTTGAGGCGTCGGACTTATGAGGCGTCGGACCTACCGGTATGAGGCGTCGGACATATGGGCCTTTATTTGGTTAGGGGATGCCATTTTGTCGGACATTTAAGGCGTCGGACCTATGAGGCGTCGGACTTATGAGTGGACCCCTATCAAATCACTATCAAATCACCAACTCCGCCCCCCCCCCCCCTACAGACTTTTGGCTCCATAAATGAACAAAAGGATGCTTAGAAGAGCATGCCTGAAGGACACTTCTCTGGTCACAATATAACATGCATGCATACAATATACCAATGCACACGAGGCAAGATGGCTCCACTTGTCCTCCAATATTGGCACTCTGCATTTTTCATCAGCTGGATACTTATGTACCATAGTACACAGAGTCCATTCCATACATGTTTAAACTCCGGTATGGACTCCGTGCACGAACAGTAGATAGTGCTTTGCGACCAAGCACTTTTGGGTAAGGTGATCCACTGATCACACGTGTCGCCTTTTTTTTCGCGGTCCATCCCTATATGTTTTGTGTTCTAGAGCTTATTCTTGTGGAAGCTGTTCATTTTCAGTTGCAGAAATGATTGGCTCCTGGAATTTATTTTGAACTACAGAACCACCTCTTGACACCCTTAAGTTAACCTTTTCACCTAACACGTCTTCATTGACCTTCAGCGCTATCACAGTATCAGGCAGTTTTGTTTTGTTGTTCTAAACCATCCTTACACACACTGTGGCATTGATGACAAGGTGTTGAGGAACGGCAACTGACAAGTGATGCCGCTTCCTCCAACTGACAACCCAAAACTTCACACACAGTAAATTGAAGGGTACAAGAAATGCTTGTTTATCATCCAGTTCATAAGTGTGACGTCATTTCAACTTAAACCACGTTTTAATTTTTCAGTAGCCTGCTGGCCAAATGCTAGTCAAAACAGCAGCGGGCTGGTCAAACTATTCCATAAGTAGCCCAGCTGGCGAGTCAAAAATTATTGGGCTACGGCAAAGATGAAAGGACAGGAAGAAATAAATCATTAAATTCAGAAAGCAAATCTGTATCAATTTGTGTCTAATTTAATTAATATGTTTAGGGTTAAAATATTTGATTTGATTATTAAAAACACTGACAAGATTGCCTCTGGATACACGTTTGACATGTACATCGTTAAAGGGAAGATTTGCAAACATCAAGAAACGAAATGATCAAATTATAACAAAATATCTCACTGGACTGTTTGCGAATGACCGTCTAAAGCAAACTGTAAAATTGTGGCTCCTTGTGTGCTGACATTTTCAAGAAATCTATTTATAATACTTTCAAGTATTTTTTCAACGCTGGTCAGCCGACCATCGTTGGAGAAAACTGCCTTTTTTTTAAAAACTGCTCCTAATTTTTCATCTTTAGTCATTCTACATTAACTTTGCAATGGAAGGGATACAAGCCTGCTAGACTGATTCTCTCACCTTACAATTCCCAATGTCTATAAATTGCAACGTCTCATCTTAAGTGGGGTCAGAGAACCAGACTACAAGAATATGGTTATTTTTTTGGATTTTCCAGCATCTTCTGACTCAAAACGTGAAACAAGCTAGTTTAACAATACTTTCTATAGCACACTAATCCTCCAAATTCATTTATTTTTGAAAATTGCAGCAAAAGCAAATGTTGTATATTCCCTTTAAAGAAAAATATGTAGGCTAGTTAAAATGCGGGCAAGTAAGAGTCTGTTTCAGCATCCCGGCTGGCTGGTGAAAAAACAGTTACGGTCGAGCCCTAGTACGTGTCACAGAGTAGCATTAATAATCACTGGAACCTCTGGAACGGGAAGTAGTGCAAAGATGCAAGTTCAGCCAATGGGCGCTACTAATCAGTGGTGCGTGTACGACAGTAAAGCCCAGTTCATACTCGGCGCGAAAGTGAAAGCGAACGCGAATTTGTGACGTCATGGAGAGTATTCGCGATGCGAATTCGTAAAAGTTGAACACATTTCAACTCGGGCGAATTTCGCAGCGAATGTTTCATGACGTCAAGTTCGCTTCGCATTCGCTTTCGCATGAAGTATGAACCCGGCTTCACATGTACTTGACATACATGTACAGTCACTTACGAACCGGAATGTGACAATTTCCCAAGACGTTAGACAACACTTTCAATAATAATGTAGACATTTATAACGCGCAACATATCCACTCAGAAAGAGTGCTCAAGGTGCTCGCAATTAAATGTTCATGATAAGATACACAGTCTGACAGTGCAGATGCAACAAGTTCATCTGTAAGAAAGAGTATTTGTTCAGATGGGTGTTTTTAGTTTTCTTTTAAAGTCATTCACAGTCTCACCATGTCAGGCAGAGTCTGGGCAGAATCAACTGTGTTTTCCTCTGTCTTAACCGTAACCTCCCAAATTCCAACAAAATCCATCCCCCATGTTGGTAGATTTCGGGGGGACTTGGTCCTGCAGGCCTGGTTCGATTAAATTGTTGATGGAGTGTGATGGACTTGGGACCAGAGGCCTGAAGCAAAGCATGCATTGCAAGCAGTGCGATTGATGGATTTTGGCGGACTTGGTCCAGTACTTAGTAAAAGACGTTAGGGAGTTAGGGTTAAAAGGGGAAAAGTTTTTCCACCTACCCGGGATTTTTTGGGGGGCTAAATGAATGACTTACCAATTCCCTTGACTTCCACTCGTCTCCCAAACGGAAACATTCTGGTTGCCGAGGGCAAGAATCACCCGTAGCGTCCCAACATCTCTGCCGCTCATGTGGTAGAAGAAATGGAAGCTGCACTGTGGACCGCTCTCCGAGTACAGTGGGCTGACGAGACGCGAGAGGGCGCCTTTCTCTTTACCTGTTGCGTCGACATACAGGTAGCTGCTTGACTCTGTATGGGGGTGTAGTGGGGGGGGGGGGGGAGATTGAAATAAGTACAAGTAATCAATGACAAGATTTGGCGTGATTTAGTTTAAAGCAGTGTGGACTCAGTGCATTAAGTGCCCCTTCATCATCAGTGATAGAGAGATTTGACCCACTCTTAAATGCCACAGACCACTCATGCTGCCACCATTTCAGTCATGTTCCCTGTATCCAATAACAGTACTGAATGATAATTTTCTTTGTGCAAAAAGGAACCAGACTATTTTTCCTTCCAGCCTCGTTTTGGTTACGTTGCTTTGAATGGGGGAAAAAAAAAATCAAGATTGCTGCAAGGTGATAATGGTCTATTGCCACTGAGCACCGGCACCCACAAAGATGCTATGGATTTGCCTGAATTCAAATGAAAACAAGAAGTGCCTTCTTCGTGCCAATTTGTGCACTATACCAGGTATCGGTCCCATAGTTTCTGCATGATGTCAAGATGGGTCTGGGAACAACCAAACTTAAATTTCTGACCCAAATTGGTGTAAAAGAAGAACCCAAATCCATACTCCAAATAGTCTTTTCCAGGCATCTAGCCAAATGCATTGAAAAACTTGGACTTTCTACCATGTCAAAATGAATTTGAACAAATCTTAGCAAAATGAATTTGAACAAATCTTAGCATAAACTATCTTATAATAGTTTATGCGGTACCCGCTGCTATGTACATCAGATTCGAACCGGCCAACCGATCCCGCTAGCTCGGTGGTCGAGTGGTAAGACATCTGCACTAGAAAGCAGGAGGTCGTGATTTTGAGTCCCACCCGAGTGATTTGTTCAACTTTCACTTGGGAGGTAACACACTGAGTATACAGTGTTTAAAAACGTCCGTGAAGGGCAAAACCTAATTTGATTTATATCACCCCGACGCAAAAATTCCATCTTATAATAAATCTTAGTCGAGTTGGCCCATTCTTGTTGTCATGCATTCAGTAACAAAGTGAGTTAAACAAAAAAAATGAAACTTAGTTTTGGGCACTTTAAATACCATTTCCAAAAATATTATTTCTCAATCTGCTCATAAATAACAATCTTCCCTCGCCACGCAAAATTATATAATTCCTCCTTTTTAATTCTCCTTTAATAGCACAAACAAATGTCATCATAGTAACACAGAACTTAACCTTTTTCACAATTTTCGCCAACTCTTCCTTTCATTGCTAGGCGAAATGTGTTCACAATATGGCAACATGACAGCCATGCATGCATGATGTCCTAATACCATGGCAACATGTGCCTACATGAAACTGCCAAAACCCTCAAATCAAAATGTCAAGTTTCTACCGACCGGTACGGTTATTTTGTTTGCCTTCGCCATTGGGAGGAATCACAGAACAAACTGATTGCTTGGAGATGTGTCATGTTTGAAATCAATCTTGCGTGCACGTACCGGTACCTAGTGTTTGCTTTTTCAGTAAAGAAGGAGGTCCGCGCTAACAGATCAAATCACATACATGTACATGATTGTAGGATCTTGGTTTGTACTTTGGCAGCATGAACCCTAAAGAACGTGATCCACAGTCTGCTTCAGTGAGAAATTGGCGTAATGGATGTGAAGTGTTTTTTAAATGTCTTGTATTCTACGCACGAGTTTGTAAGACTGCTGGGTTTCTGCTGAAAGAATAACCTCTTGCCTTTGCTTTTGGGAATTATTTGTAGTTTCTCATTAAACAAGGTCTTGTCTGAGGAATTGGAATTACCATTTTTATCATATTAGCAATTGTAGTATCAATAGTGATTTCTTCTACTTTTTTCTATTAATTCTTTCATTTAGTGAGTTACTCTCAAAATGTACTGATTCTAGGAACCCTACCCATCCTGGCAAATTCCAACACCATATGGAAAACTGTACACACATATTTCTGACTTTGTATCTGGAGGTGTGCCAACCCAATGTAAAAGACTGTCAGTTTAGGGGTACTGTACCCATCCTGACAGATTCCAATAGAACATGCAGTTGGGGTTTGATGTGTTGAGTTCTGTTAGGGTTAAGTTTCAAATATTATTTGGATACATGATCCTTTCATGTGTCGCTGCTATAAAGCGCAAAGGGTGTGTATGTGTTCATGAGTTGTTCACAAGTTGAAGTTGGTGCACCGACGAAGCGACCTTTCGCCCCCAAAAACAGGTGACACAACCGTACTCACTCACGAAGTGCCCGACAGGCAGACAAGCTGCCTTCCCCACGAAGCAGATGAGGGGAAGCCTCTTATAAGATGGAATTTTGCGTCAGGTGATATAAATCAAATTAGGTTTTGCCCTTCACCGACGTTTAAACACTGTATACTCAGTGTGTTACCTCCCGAGTGAAAGCTGGAAAAAAATCACTCGGGTGGGACTCGAACCCACAACCTCCTGCTTTCTAGTGCAGATGTCTTACCACTCGACCACCGAGCTAACAGGATCGGTTGGCTGGTTCGAATCTGATGAACATAGCAGCGGGTACCGCATAAACTATTATAAGATGGAATTTTGCGTCGGGTGATATAAATCAAATTAGGTTTTGCCCTTCATTTGAGGGGAAGCCTCATTTCCGATAAAATTTGAAGAAAAAAAATATTGTAAAATACAAAATTTAAACTCAGGAACTGCAGTGCTAGTCTGAAATTCCTTTTCAGCAACTACTTAGAATGTTTGAAGTACATTGCACTGGTCACTTATTATTTATAAGCTAAAAAAAAAAAAGTCGGATGCTAATTTTATTTTTATTGACCCATACGAAGTTGAAGTGCATAATTTATCAGATACTGAATATTACAAAATACCAACAATATGGCGTGGTAAATATTTAATGGCAAACGGTGTAATTACTCAGTAGCTACGGCACATGTAATTTGTTAGTCTACTTTGAAGGCCATGGCATGTTTTATACATAGATCTTGTCCTTTCGACCCTTGGCTCGTTTGCAATAATACAAATAAAAAACAACTGCTGAATATTTAATGTAACTAACAATGAACCCAAAAAAATACAAGTGCAGAGATGCCAAGATCACGCAGAAGCTGGGGTGTGACAGTGTGAGTGGCACCAACGAAATATGGATCTGCACATGTACGCAGTGTTAACTCCATTAATAAAAGTTACATGAACAAACTGTAGATTGCAAAGCATTATTAAGGGACATTTGCATTCATGCATATATGATGAAGTACATCTCCCCATAATGTAAAAAATCCACACCAATCAAAGGACACTTGATACATGTAGGTTTCCTTTCTGATCACAGCTGGCTGAAGCGGAAGCAGAACAAAGGCAAGTGGAGCCATTCCCACTCCCCCACCCACACTTTTGGATCCCCCAGCAGAATGATGTATGTTCCCTCACCTACGTACTTTAAAGCTATAGTCCATCATTTACAGCTATCTAAGCAACTGACAAAATTGTTGTTGAACAGCAAATCTGGTTTATAGATTGTAACGGGACTAAATTCTCTGTGAAATTATTCGCTCTCGCAAGCTGTCATTTTGAAGAAAACAATGAAAGAAGGCCATTTCCAACAATGCGTCTAAAGCCACATCGACTCCTTGGTAATTTCCATTAGTACATGTAGTTCGTTTTTAATTCAGCAAAGCGCGCGCAAGCATCAATGCAATGCACATACAGTTGCTATAATTTGTCGGTCCAATGCACGGCATCGCATAGCTGCAAATTGGCTGAATGATAACATGTTCCGGACACTGAAATCGGGCGCATTTCAAAACATGACTCGTCAACTTTTGATTTGAAATCAAGATCCTAGAATATTGTGTTTCTCGGAATATAAAGCATTCAAAGAGCTAAAACTTCATCAGGATAGTTGTTAATCACCCTACTTTGTATATTGAGCACTTTTGTTGCTTCAAACAAACATGCACAAATTACAAATGATGGACTCTACCTTTAAGAAATGCTTTGTCAGTGTATTGATCTAGTTACATGTACACTTACTTGTACATATACGTAAATTATTCAGTTTAATTTGGTTTCTTGACTTCAAATTGCCATTTTCAATTTTCCATCACTATAAACAGCATCAGGCTTTAATACACAGCTTCTCCTTTATGCTGGATTCTGGAGCTCTCACAATGTCATCAGATTTCTACCAATTAAGGAACTGAACTGCATGTTTCTCCAGAAAAACAAAAACTGATCACCAACAATAATAATGATACTTGCACAGGATGTGTGAAAAGTTCACTAACCAAAATGGCTTAGCTTTCCATCTTCAGTGTTTGTAATCTCAAGTTCCTGTGCAAGTACTTGGCCCAGTTGGGTGGAATTGGGTGTTGATTCTAGGCCAGCCATCCCCTCTAGGTACAGGCAGAAAGCAGCAAAAGCTGCTTCCTCCAACCAAATACTGGGCCATGGCGAGAACTTTACTGTCCTTAGCTGTACCCGTATGTGTAACTCAGATTCTCAGAATCACTCAGACCATGCTCAGACAACACTGAGTATACAGTGTTGATAAAAATACGTCAGTGAAGGACAAAACCCAATATTGAATGTATCTCAGATGTTGTCCACTCCACGGCAATCTCCAGGCACCAGTTACCGGTGGTACACTTGCCATATAATGTGCGAATGCAAAGATGTAACGGCTTATACATATATTCATGAAAACTGGTCGTGTGTACTCAGAACCATGTGAACACGCTCTTGCACATGCTGTGTCCTGCACAGAGCGGGGTCTAAATGTTGTCATGAAATGCCATCTAGGTTTAACTAGGGCTGTCCATTTGTGAATAATTTAGTATTGAGTAAGATTTGAGGCTTTGCATGGTGGAGATACTAAATAATGAAAGGTTTGCGGAAACACCATGTGCGAATAATTTCTCAACTAAGAGAATGGTTCTGAAAAGAACCAGAGGTATAAACTCGACGTTCCGGTCAGTATGCTCTGACCCTCTTCAGGAGACGATCAGAGCATACTCACTCTCCTGAAGATGGTCAGAGCATACTGACCGGAACGTCAAGTTTATACCTCTG